GGAAGAAAGCTCTAGTCCATGCTGACCCCGGCCACACGGAGTTAAGGACATTTGTAAACAGGCGTGGGGCCTCCTCACCTGGGGATGGGCAATTCCTGTTCCGGCGGCGTGAGGGACAGAGGCCAGGGTGTGACTTCCCCTCCGTAAGATAATATTTCAACACCCACCAGGACCCACAGACCCAGTGGTTCCATAAAGACCCAGGACGAGCAAGCCAGGGATGGCCGGTGATGGGAAAGATCAATCAGTCCCCCCTGAGACCTTTACAAGGAACACGGGGAATCCAAGAGGGGAAAAACCCCACCGCAGGATCTCTGCATACCCTCATGTATAATAAGCCTGGGTGAGCCGGACCGGCCTGCATTTGAACAGAAAGATCTGTGCTCCACAACTTCTAGGTGTGAGGCGCCATAGAAAAGTCAGCGTCTTTACATGGAATCTGAGAAATATCAAGAAAGCCACGCCGTGGGCCCCACTCCTAGATTCAAAAGCCGCTCCGCACACCTCAAAGACGCGCTTCCCGCCTGGCGGAGAGGGATGGAGGCAGAGAAGGCAGCGCCGGCTCGGTCGCCTACCAGCAGCCTGACCCTGGACAAGAACGCCACTTAACCTCTCCCCACTTCCGCCGCTTCCCTGGGAAAGCAGGGAAATTAACGCTCGATGCAAACTGGATGAATGTCATAAGACGAACAGGAGTCACCAGCTTCGGGACCATAGAACGCGGCTGTGAAGACTGCCGTTCTGTTTTGGCTTCGGTGACCTCGCCCCTGGACTCTGGGTAAGAAGGTACCGGGACACATCGCAATTCAAAGAGGACGCCCTAAGTTGGCCTGTCGTTAAAGGTTCGAGAGACCCCCACTGCCAAGAGCTCTGTCGGCACACACCTTCCACCTGGTTCTCGCCACAAACAGGGGTCCTGGTGTGATCGTCCTCCCAGGACCAGAATTCCATGGCAATGGCCTGGCCTGGGCTGTCCCGCAGCAGGGGAAAGGCCCCCTGCCTCTCAGGGCAGTCCTGGCTCTTACAAAGCTTTCCTTTCAATACCTGAGCCAAAGGCCATCTCCGCGAGGCTTCCGCCGCATCAGTCCCAAAAAGGCCCACAGGGACCATCCGGGACAGTCAGGACTGTCCTGCCATCCTTTGAACCTCTATGTCCCCATCCTTCCTCAAGTCCCTTCCAAGATCCCCTCCATGACCCCGGTCCAGACTCATCAGCACCCTTCTCTCCGACGCCTGCATTTGCTTTGATGCTCTGCTGTCACCATAGAGACTGTATCCAGGTCTGAACATACATTTTCTTAAATATATTGAATAACTCTGAGCAAACCAAATCCAACTTAAAAATCAAGAATAGCACTGGTATTTTAATAGTCAATATTGCCAACGGTCCATTAAATAAGGATAAGGTAGAAACGGGTGATGTGTGAGGTGGCGGTTGTTTTTTTTTTTTTAAAGCTAATATCACCCTCACATTTTTCATGCCTTGTCCCACACATTCTGGCCAGTCTAATTCTCCTGCATAAAAACATCGCCGAATTGCATAATACTACAAAAGGGACCACGGTCTTTGAAAAACTCATACTTTCAGAGACTAAGAACAGATCTAAATGCTGGGGAGACTCCCAGCAGGCAGAGGGGGGCCAAATGCCCAGTGAGGACAGCGTAAGGTGGGAACACGTGGGGCCTTTCGTGGCCAGCACCCCTCACCCGCCCAAAGGCAGCAGCCTCAGGTCTCAGTCTTGGAAGAGCCGCATCCAGCCACCTTTCCGAGTCACTTCTGTTTAAATGACATATGTCACCGACATAAAGCAGAGCCCAACGCCCTCCCTTGCACACACACTTCCTCATGGAGGGGGCTGAATTACTTTTACATCTTGACACCAATCGTTACATATGAGCCCAGGGACGAGCTTGATCATGCAAACGTCTTCTCTATGACCCGTCCTATGCATGAGCCTGTCGAGTCACCACGCTGGACTCAAGTTATTTGTACAGGAATTCTTCAGTCATAGTTTCTGCTCCTGTAATTTGCCACATTTATTTCATTCATTTAAAATTGTAAGTAGGAGAAAGCGGTCATCCTCTGGCTCTCTAACTGTACACGCCCCACCGTGAGACACACTTAGTGCTGGGCCCTCTGCGCCCGGCTGGGTCTGGAAGGCTGTGCGCCCGGCTGGGGTAGGGCACCCAGCTCCGCTACACAGCGGCCAGCATGCTGCGCCTGGTCTGCTATGAATGAAAGATGAGCATCAGAGTCAGCAGCATGGCTTCCCAAGGGATCTGCTCAAGGCACGTGGGGGACCCGGGCCCTCCCCAGATGCTGGTGGTGGGTTCCCTTTCTCTCCTTCTCTGCCCTGGAGAGACGTGTGTGGCTGCACCAGGGATTCTCGTGCCCGTTGGCTCCTAGTTGGGTTTGGTCAGGAGCAGGATGGGGCGGAGCCTGGAGGCAGAGGGAGTGAGGGCAGGGTGCCTCCCTGGGCCCCCACTCCCTTCAGTGACGCCACGTGTTCCCTGGAGCTCTGACGGGGCCAGATGCCTGTCAGTGGAACCTTATTTTTTTTTTTTTCTTCACTCTAAAGATAATTAAATGCAGTCAAATTCAACCACTTTATGACATCTCCTATAAAACATTTTATATCTGCAATTGAGAGTTTCCAGCACAAGCCCGGGCAACAGACAATACAGGTGGTAACGGTGGCCACGGAAAAGAGAAACAGAAATATTTCCTTAAAATTAAACGGTATCCTCTAACAATAAAACACGTACAACTGGCTTTAATTTCAAGAGCACAATGCTGACATGTATGCGGCTGTGCCATGCACTTAAAGAAACTAAGCGCCATTGAGACTGTTAATATCACTGAATCAAAAATGGCTTGAACTCTAGTGTACATTATGACCTCAGAGATGCTAAGGTGTTGGGGGAGAAAAATATGTCTTAGAAACATGGCTTGTCTCAGAAGAACGACTCGTTTATGGTTTGGTAGGTAGGTCTTCCTAGGGAACAAAGACACATTTTCTTTCTACAGAGAATTCACTGTCGTATTTCCCAAGGGAAGGATGTTAGGGCCCTGGTGTGGCTGAGACAACCCTGTCTCAACTAGAGGGAGGGGGCTGGCTCCCCCTGGGATCACAGATGGACGTTGGGACACGTGTGATCATCCCTCACTGCAGGCCGGAGGCACTGCTGGGAGGTTTAATCTGGGTATTTCTGTGGCGCCCAGGGGCTTTTCTATTTATGTCCCAGTTGTGTTTGGGTGGATGATCCATCTCAGCCGTGTCCTAGGTTCCTGTCCGAAATACACAGAGCAGTCCCAGGAACTCAGGAAGTGGGCTGGAAATATGGACATCCATGCTCACTTTTCCAACTCCCTCAGTCACCGATGGCGTGCTGTGTGCAGCCACTACTAATTCACGTTAAGGCTGCATCTCATCCCCAGAGCTCTCACAGTGTCGGCGGTGGGTGGGATAATCAGGGTCAGTGTGTGGGATGTAGTTACAGGTGGACTAACAGTCAGAATCTTCCAGGTGGTGCTTCTGAGAAACCTCAAGGCTTTTCCCTAAAGCCATCTCCCTCTCCCCCAGGTGCCATCCCTCGGGTGAAAGACCATGCTTCCTCTGGATTCCACCCCCTCCCCAACCTCACACCTGTGTCAGGGTGGGCGTGGCCATTTGCTCGGCAGGTGCTCTTGCTGGACAGTCATTTCAGAAGTCTCATCACCTCTCAGCATCCGTGGCCAAATCTGCTTCCAAAGGGAAGCACAGTGGCCTCTGGGGGGGCACTTTCATCCATAATCACTATTTCTCACCAGTGCTGACCTAACAGAACCTTCCTCCCTGATTATACGGGGAAAAAAGTAGATTTTATTGGCTGAACTTGTCTGCAGGAAGCCTATGGGAGGCAAAATGGTAAGAAACTTGGGGAGGTGGTAGAGCTTTCAGATGCCCACCATGAGAGCCCTACAGGCTGTTCGACACTCTGAACCTCAGTCCCCTCTTCATACGTGGGACGGTGCCACGGCCCAACTCACAGAACTGTGGTAGACATCCCGTTTAGTGCACACACGGGAACTCTGCTCTCTCCTTGTTCACCTGTGCTCTGCAGGTTTACAGGCTCATTTCTGGGCATTAGGAGAGAACGGGCCACTTCCTGCCGCATCTCATGGTGAACAGCCAATGGGATAGGAAAAGGGAGGGAGGCATGGAGAGGGTAAAAGCACATGTTTTAGCGGGAGTCCTGGGCAAACAGACCCTTTAATCCTGGTTGGCCTCACAAGTAGTAAGTCACATTACCCAACAATGCTTGGAAGTTTATTTTTCCTTTGAGGTATGTCTTTAACTTGCTTATGAAAACTGTATTAATTCCACCTCTTCTAATGCGGTGTGTTAGTGCATGTGTATACACGTGTGTGTGTGTGTGTGTGTGTGTGTGTGTGTGTATGGATCCCCACTTGTATTTGGGGGGAAAACCCTGTACATCCAGCAGAAGGAGCCACTGCAGGAAGATCGCACCTGGCATCACAGAGTGAAAACTGAGGACTTGACAAGTCAAGAGGAGCTGCCACAGAAGCCACAACCCCTGGGCGTCCCCATGGGCCAGTGTGGACGGCTCTGGTGGGAGGGGTTGCATCAGAATGGAGCCGACGAATAGGAGAGAGGATTCCTGATCAGGAGAGGTGCGTTTCCCTCAGTGGGAGTGAACATTTGGGCTCAGGGGGCCCAAAGACCAGAGAACTGACTGGCACACGACGGGGACCCCAGCATTAACACCCACGAGGCGACAGCTGCCAGGAGTCAGACAACTGGTTGGTGGACACTCCTGCGCATCAGCCATCGATGAGGAGTCCTGAGGGCCCTCTGGCACCACCTGGTAAAGGGGAAGCAGCTGCAGGGACCTCATTATTGCGCACGTGTTGCTCAGGGCAGGTGACGGCACAGGTATGAAAAGCACAGGTTGACTTTCCGAGTGGCAGGCTCACTCTGCCGTCCGGGAGGCCTTACCTTCAGCAGTGCCTGACAGGCCGTCGGCTTTGAAGTTGCTGGTGCTTTTCTTCCTTCGGTGCTTCTTTCTGTTGGCGTGGGGGGAAGGGGGCGGGTCGAGCTTGGGGCTGGTGGTGCTGGACATGCTTGGGCTGGAGCACACGGAGTCGCCCAGCCCCGTGTCTGCGTCGGACCGGAAAGACAAAACAGAACAAGTGTCAGCACTTCAACCATGTTCCTCCAAGAGCACATCAATCCCCACAAGTAATTTACTACTGGAATATGAAATATATTATACAATATATTATACAATATATTATACAATATATGTGAGATTGCTGGATGGAGGCCCAGAGCACCCAGTACCGAAGGATCATGAAGACAGTCAACAGGTACAGGCGTCCAGTTATAAAACCACTGCAGCACTGTTCACGTAATCATGGCATACACAATACAATTTTGTATGTGATGTAATATGTAGTTTGTAACACTGTAATGGAGATTTGAAAGCTGCTAAGAGAATAGATATTAAAAATTCTCATCACAAAATAACTCCCACTGTAATAGTGGTGATGGGTGTTAACTAACTAGATTTATTCTGGGGAGCACTTTGTTATATGGATCAAATCACTGCTGTACACCTGGAACTATGCCCTGTGGCCCGGGCCCTGGAAATGGGAGTCTCAGTTTGCTGCTGGAGGAAGAGCAGCAAGCAGCAGGGGACCACTCCGAACGGGGCAGCCACGGTGGGTGGGTGAAGGGGAGCGGGCACAGTGCAGGAATGGATGGCTGGGTGAGGAGAGGCAGCTGCCACCAAACCGTTCGTCCACCGAGAGCAGTGGTTCTCAACCTTCCTAATGCTGAGACCCTTTAATATAGTTCCCCATGTTGTGGTGACCCCCAACCATAACATTATTTTCGTTGCTACTTTATAACTGTAATTTTGCTACTGTTAATGAATCTTAACGTAAACATCTGTGTTTTCCGATGGTGTTAGGCTCTAGCAAAATTACAGTTATGCTGCGGCCTGGGGCTCACGCTGAGACGGCCATTGTTTCTAGTGAACCGGAGCCTGAGCCGGTGCTGGGATATTAATGCCCCGGCTCCCAGGAGCAGCTAACATTCATTCCTCATTTTAAAACAGGAGCGACCCAAACGCACCGTGCTTCTCCCTTCCCGACGACCCCCAGCCTGACAGGGGATCCCTCAGAGTGAAGAGGCCGAAAGCCCAGCCTCAGAAAGAAATGAGCTCCAGCCGAAGCCAGGCAACGCCATCCGGGCCTCCTGACGGCCTGCAAATAATGTGTTTTACTCTGTATTATGACTGGGCTCCGGGACAGGTGACGTCGGTGGCGCGCTGACTGTGGGAGGGGAAGGGTGAGGAAAAAGGGCACGCAAATTAAAAAAGCAAGCACCTCGTCACTCCACACCTAACTCGGCTTCGACAGGGCCCCGGTGTCCCGAGCTGGAGAGGCCGTCCACTGCCATCCCATGCCGTGGGCGTCAGCCATTAGTCCTTCCCAATCGGGCATCAATGTTCAACGCACACCCCAAAATATATATAACCCAAGCCGCCACGACAGCAGCCTGCAGCCTCCCCGAGCTGCGGCACGTGAAGTATGAGTCCGGGAGGCAGCCCACTCCTCACGCGGGAGGCTGACAAGCATGACTGCAGGGATAAAATAACACTCCGTTCGCATAAATATCAAGCAGCCTGCCCGAGACTGATGGGCCAGGAATGGATTCTTAGCTATCATTCCGGCAGACAGGCCCAAGGACACTCATAACTTATTTTACAATCATTTAGTTTCAGCTCAAGTGGAAAACGTGACAACTTATCTCGGCTGACAAGATGCCATGTCGAACCTTACAATTAACTCTCCTCTGATTATCTGCCCAGCCGATCATTAGCTGGCCGCTTTTGATGAACTGTTGCGGGGAGCTCGCCTCGGCGATCGCCGGCACCGCCAGGTGTAGTGGATTGGTTTTTGATGTCCCGGCTGATGCTCCCACAGACCGGCTCCGTGGTGTGGGCCTGCGGCCGGCTGCTCTGGGTCTGAAAAGGCGTCTGTGGGGGAGGCGTCCTTCTGCACCGTCCCCACCGCTGTGATGACCGCAGCGAGTGCTGTGACCACGGCCAGTGGCCCTCCCGACCTGTCCCTAGGCCCCACCCCGGTCGGAGGTGGCCGCTCCCCAGACTTGGAGTCTATATTTCACGGATCTCTGAGCCTTGTGGGCTTGGCTGGAGAGGGGGTGCTAAGGATCTGCATCAGGGAGCCACCCACACTGTCTGGAGGAGCTGCCAGGAGGGCTGGCCAACAGTGGATTTCCTACGTGCTGATTAAAGATATGAAATGCTTTAAATGTAGGGTCCCAAGAAGCAGGCATCTTTATGGAAAAGAAAAGGGGGCAAAGACAGGTATGCGTATTCACTCTCTTCTCGCTTTTTCATGTATATCCTCACTCATTTGGTGGTTTCTGAAACAATAGCAAAAATCTCTTTTGGGGGTGGGTAATAAAATAATTCAAGATGATCAAACTCAGGGCTATTTGTCAGGGCTAGGGCGGGGGAGGGGATCCACTGAGAGCTAAAACCTTCTAAAAATTCAAGATGAAGAGCTAAGACCTTCTAGAAATTCAAGACGAAGCTACGGTAGGCTGGCAAATTAAAACGCACATCCTCTGAGACAAGGCCCACGGGGCAGAGCTAATCTGGACCTTGAATGCGGGCTCTGCTCCTTCTGAAGATGAGAGGCGTGCAGGCTGGTAAATAAAGGACAGGCCACCTCTGCCATCGGGGAAATCACAACATCCCGGCCCCTGTTAAAAGGTGAGTGTGAAGTGAAGTTCAAAACCTCGCCCTTCTCGCAGTCCTTTTGACGGCGCTTTCAGCAGGAGGCGGCGGACTTGGATCCCCATCTCTGAAGATGTTTCAGAGCCAGGCACATTGTCCGGTTCCCTTTGCCGCTCGCAGCGAGCACAGAGGTGCGCGGTGTCAGAAGTAGGGGCAGCGGGGACACCGTGGGGGGCCGAGGAAGATGACAGGTGTTGTGGGAAAGGAAGAGACAACACAGGGTTGGATCGATGGAGTCACAGAAGTGGGGAGGAAAGGAACACAATGGGGGGAGGGGGAGGTAGGAGAGAGAATCGGGGGAGAAGCAGGGCCTACCTGGGCTGATCTAATTACAGGGGGATGTCTCTCGATGGAGCAGCATTGACCAGATTTTAGGAAACCTGATCTTCATTCACATGCAGCCCTCACTCACTGCCTGTTTACCAAGCCTTACAAGGAAACCAGCACAGGTTCCGATCGCTCATTAGAGTGCAGGGCTTCTTTCTGAGGTGGTAAGCATGTTCTAAACCTGACCAAAGTACGGTGAGGGCTGCACGTCTCTGTGAATATACGAAAACCTGCTGAACTGAACATGTGAAATAGTCAAAGGGTATGTCACGTGAGTTTTACTTCAATGAGGCTATTTTTGTTTTTTATTTTTATTTTTTAATATATTTTATTGATTTTTTTTTTAACAGAAAGAGGAAGGTAGAAGGACAGAGAGTTAGAAACATCGATGAGAAAAAAAACATCGATGTGCCCACAGCCAAGGTACATGCCCTTGACCAGAATTGAACCTGGGACCTTTCAGTCCCCAGGCTGATGCTCTATCCACTGAGCCAAACCGGTTTTGGCTATTTTTGTTTTTTAAAGGAAAACACTAGAAAGGGGTCATTGTGTTCAACATTGGAAAGCAGTCAATAAGGAAGATAAAGTACGTAGCCTGGACGGTCTGGTGTGATGCGGGGACGGAGCAGCAGGAAGGGCTTGGGGACACTCAGAAGTGAAAGCTGAAGGCCTCGAGCCCCAAAGCTGAGTTTGAGAGGGGACTGCCCAGGCCACCGGCACCTGCTAAAATCTGGCTCTATCCTGCACACCTTCTGTGGGAGCTGCCCCCACTCTCCTCCCATCCACCCCTGTCCTGAGGAGCGAGCACAGGCCCACATTCCCTGTCTTGGTGCACACCGTTTTCTCTGTACCCACCATCTCCTCCTCTCTCCCTTCTCCCCACTACACAGATGTCCTCAAGACCCTTTAGTTCCTCCTCCTGCTGATGGCCAGCTCACACCAAATGCAATCCTCTGACTGGGGAAGAGATAAAAGAAAGGACCTGCAGTAAGTCATCCGGTGAGACAGAAACCTGAGGAAGTCCGAGTGAGAACATGTCAAGGAAAAACCTATAAGAGAATGCAAGTGAGGCTTTATACTTAAGGGTCAAAAATGAAATCGTTCTCTAGTTGAACGCAAGCCGAATGCAAGCTGCACACAGTTTAAATTCATCTGGTGCACTCCGAGACACATCAGGGCACTCTGAGCGGCACAGTTAGGTGGAATTTAAATCATTTCACGAGATTCCTGTTTCCCCAGCCTCATCTCTTTTTACATAATCAGCCACAACCATTTCTCAGGTTTGCTGCTCCTGGCTGCCAAGTGACAAAAAGTTTCTGTTTTGCGTCGAGGTTGGGGAAAGACGAAGCGTGTCTGGAGGAAAACTGAGCTAAATAGGGAAGTTAGCTGAATGAATGATCCCTCTTTGGTAACATAAATGTCCGGTCTTCAGATACTTGGCTGTTTCTATTACAAGTCACAGGAGTCAAAGGACAACTGCTGCAAAGGTTGTTTTGACTGAGGCTGGGAAGGCGGCTCCCGCCAGGGCAGCCACGGACGGCGCTGTCCGCGGTGCTGAACACGCTCGGCCAGCTCATTCTGTTCCAGGAACAGAAACACCAACACAAGGCTGCTTCCTCATGGCACATTCTGGCCCTTAATCTACTGACATCACATGCTTTGATAAGGAGAGCGAAGGTGACTCCGGGTTTAAGAAAGCAGCACACAAAAACCCAGACTAAAAAAAGGAGGTCATTTAGTTAACATATCATCCCACCCATCAAAGGTAAAATGTCAAAGATAAGAACATCCATTCCCCCCCCCCCCCCCACACACACACACAATAATGAGTAGTGTGTGTCTTAGTTTGCTTAATTATTTTCCTACTGCTTAGATGAATTTCAGCTTTTTGGCCTTAAATCAATACCTTTGTGTATATTTTTAATATCTGGAATTACAAGATATGGGTTCCAGGAAATGAGCATTTGTGGGCTCTGAAAACACGCTGTGCACTGCTCCTGGG